TGTGTGTGTGTGTGTGTGTGTGTGCGCGCGCGCGCGCGTGTGTGTGTATGTGTGTGTTTCCGGGCGGGCGTGCGTGCGTGCGTGTGTGCGTGCGCGCGAGCGCTTGTGTGTATGTGTATAGAAAGATGGGGTGCGAGAGCGAGTGAGAGTACTGTATAAACATAACATATAGTATAGTTACGTCATTGCCGCATATACTGTTATCAGGTGAACCTATTGTATTATATTTGATACAATATCTGGGGCGCCTGTCACAAACGGTTTTGTAGGCGAGAGAGAGGTGGCTGTGATAATTACTATAATCATGCGCGGGTCGCTAATGATATACAATCAGGTGAGCGGCTGTTGATGCGGCGGATGATGACAGTGTTAAATGTAGTATGAGTCAATAAAGACGGTCGGTCTAACGCGGTCAATGGATTTGTTATCGTTCGGGCGACTGTTAGATTCGGAAATACTCGTTACGTATTGTAGTGGTGGCTATATATTGTCCTATATAAGTTACTATATAAGTACTATATATAAGTTACTATATATTATACTATATATAAGTTAGTATAAGTTCCTACATAAGCTATCCATAGATATTTTTACTCGTGGCTAATTATATAAATGTCAATAATAGGAAGACAATATATCCGGCGTAACTTCAACACTGTTTTATAACGCCTTCCTGGATTTGTGAAATACGACTAGATATATCGCGTGTAGCTAGGCTTCTACTTTGTGAAACACATAAAATAACGAGCCGTGGTTATTGCTAATAATAGCAGCTAGGTTTCTGTATGAAGATTGGCGGTGACGTCCCGTGTACGATCTATTGCAGGGCTTATAGAGAAGGCAACCTTCGATGTGCATCTACAGAACTCAGTGAGCAGCAGGACGTCGGCGCGGGCCAAGAAAGAGTCGGTGTCGGCGCTGGTCTCTATCGAAGCGACAAAATTGCTAGCAGAGCGGTACAGTAATATTTTCCATTCGATATAGTTTGCTTCGATTCACCTCCGAATTTCATCTACGCGTGACTCACTTGTTCCTCCTGTCGACCCTCTCACTTTCCGTTCCCTCTGCGTTCGGCCTGAGATTAGCTCAGATTTAGCGCCCTACTAGTCGAGGGGGCGCGTCAATCGCCACGCTTCACTGAGCGCCGTCTACATTCCTATTCCGTGGCTACGTGCTGGTGACTATTTCACTGTAGTTTACGACGGCGGTCGGATCTGTCATCGTCATTTTATACGGGTTTTTAGGCGGGAATTTTTAATAATATGGCACGACGTTATCGATAACAAAACACGTAATGCTGTCCGGTTAATATTGTAACTATAGGCCAGACGTAGCAGCTAATTTGTATCGCGTGCCAGGTAATAATTATAATTGTAATCGTCGACCTCCTAGTATAGCAAGTAACTTCATATGCGTCGCGGTGATGGCTCACGTTTCAACATCAAAACGGGTTTAAAGTAAAATTACACCGACTCGATGAAAGGCGATGTGTGTAGTAATACAGCAGTGAGTGCTTAATGTGGTATCACGCACCGGCCATCCATTGTTGTCATTGTTGAGTGAGTATGCGGAGGAAAAAGTAGTGCCGATTACAACACGATGGCTTAGAACAACCTCATACTGTTTCATAAACTATGGCCGTATGTAGTAGCGTCATCGCACGTAACATTTATGGACGTCCTGTGTACGTGCGTGTGCGTGGTCGTGTACGGACGCGTTCGCGTGCGCGCGTGCGCGTGTGCGTGCGTACGCGTGTAAGTAATGGCAGAGGAGCATGATAAGTCGATTATAACAAATATTCATCAATTACAATGTGATTTTTGTGATAGCGTTTTAAGGTATTCTATTTCCATACGCCATTTAAGTAAGGAATTCGTAGAGCATTCGCACTGTATACAGGATATATACGGTAAGGCCAGTTGTACCGTAAGCAGTCAACTTAGTGGAACACAAAGGCGTTCATTGCTCTTTGCTCTGGCACTGTACACACACGAACGATCATAAATCCACTGATCTGCGACTATGTAGCTTTTCAACGTTTTTCTTTAGCGTTTTAGAAAACAAACAGAACAAAGACTCATATAGAGCGTTGTTGCACGATGGAGATCAGAGGACATGCCCCGCCTTGGATAGAGAAGTGATTTTGTAGAGAATACAATATTAAGTTTATTGGTTGAGTTAACTATTGTTTTCCGTTAACTTATCATGCCTCATCGCCATATTTGCCTCTGATACGTATCCATCGTGGGAGTATTGGAACAGCAGATATTTGGTTCTATCTCTGGTTTCTGATTATTGATTGACTCTTGCTCTGATTGCTCACTCACTGCCTTAAGCGACATGACTCATCGGATGGGAGCAGGAGGTTAGCAGTAAATTATTGTTGCACCATGACATTAAGTAACACGTAGGTAAGATCAAGAGTAGATAATAGGAGATTCTCCTATTATCTACACTTGGTAAGATGTTAGGGAGCACCCCTTTAATTCAATTCAACGATTTAGATCCGGAAAATTCCTGAATGATTTTATCTTCGCTTTGCGGATTTGAACATGCAGCCTACGCGTCAGATTGGATGGCACCACTATCCAACCATAAACACACCTCGGCTGATTCCGCACCTAGCCACCTACATTCATACAATTGTACTGATAGACATACTAGTATAATAATTCTATGACTACGTCTTACGTAATCAACGTAACGAAATAAAGCAGAGAAGCGGATTCGTCCGAGGTTTGCCGAAGGACCATGCGGGTGGGGGAAAACATCAAACGGTAACATTACGAGAAACAAATCTGTCGACAAGAATAATTACAGTTGATCATCGGCATTTTGTCGCGTGTAGCACGAGTCTGTGAGCCGCCACGAGTGTGTGCCGATCTCTCCGTAACCGCGTTAACCTATTTTCTCTTCTAATGAGTCAGAGAGAGAGAGAGAGACAGAGAGAGACAGACAGAGAGAGAGAGAGACAGACAGAGAGAGAGAGAGAGAGAGAGAGAAAGAGAGAGAGAGCGCGCGCAATAGCAAGAGCGAGCAAGAAAGAGCGAGTAAGAGCGGGAAAGAAAAAGAGAGAGCGTGTGCGAGAGAGGGCGAGAGAGAGAAAACGAGTCTATCTAGTCTATCGAGACAGATCGGGAGAAGTATGAAACGTTGAGAAACTGTGCAAAATAGCACTCATGTTTGGGAAGAGCAGCAATTTCACAAGAATGCGCTAAAAGAGCTGGATGGCTTAAAGGCGGCCAAGAGAAACTCAAGAACACTAACAAAAAAACTCGAGACTGCGACAACATTACTAGGGCGCGTCGTTGTTTATTGGCATGTGTATTTGCGCGTGCGAATTTGTAGTAGGCCTATACATGTGTGTGGATAGGTAGGACACCGGCACGTGTGGGTGTGGATGGGAGAATGGGGGCCGAAAGCGGTACAGCTGAGGAGGCTCTGCATTTCTGTAGCAACCTTCGACAATGTCCGGAGGCAAGGCCACAAAAGATGGAAAAAAAGATTTTCTTCATAAAGCTTGATTTTATTTGTCTCGTGTAATCAGCTCTTAGTGCCGTGTTATTAAGTAATTATTCTGTAGGGCACTTTGCCACCTCTCAGGGAAACATGTCGACAGTATCTGTACGACAAAATGTTAAGCTTAGATTAGCTTAGATTAGCTTCTAAGTGCCATATTGTTATTGTAAATCCGACCACACTACGCGTGAAACTGTAACCTGATAAGAGGTGCTTCAAAATCTCTTGATATAAATATTCCGGTAGTGGTTCTATTGTCGTCTGTCTGTAATTGAGTACTTTAGTATCGTGGGTAACACCAGCGATCTGCTGTCGTTACCCACCGTCCCCTTCTTATACATATACGTTCAAGAAGTGATATATCAGATAATCCTGGTAACTAACAATACACTTTCAACAATACAGTGTGTATTGTTGAACACCTTCTAACAATACACTGTGTATTGTAGTAGGTAGCCTAACAACTCGTGTATTTAAATTCAATTTCATTTTCATATAATTCAATAAAATCAGATCAAATAATTTCAATAAAATTCATTAAATAAATGGTCAATTCAAGTTTACAATCAAAAGTTAAACTAATTAAAAAAAAGGAAAAGAAGAAAGATGATTGTTAGAAAGTGTTCAGCATAAACAGTGTATTGTTGTAAGCTCATAGGGTACCTACTGACATAACAGTGTATTGTGTTGAAAGCTCAATAGGTACCTATACAATTACACAGTGTTTGTTTAAAAAGTGTTCACAGATACACAGTGTATTGCAATGCTAAACATGCAACACAGCTGTGTATTGTTAGTTAGCAGGATATATCCTGGATATAGTATAGTATATATGTATATATGTATATATATTAATATTATATATATATATATATATATATATATATGTATATGTATATGTATATGCATATGTATATATATATATATGTATATATTTATACATTTATATATGTATATGTATATGTATTACGCGTGAGTATTACAATTATAATATTAGCCTTAGTCATCATCACCACGGCATGCAAAGAATCACCTCTTAGCATTATCTGCATAATAATGAGAGATTCGGTCAATAAATGAGCGACCTTTCTGATCCGGTACTTTTCATATGTTATCTCAGGTTTGCGAGACGGCAAGGTGCACAATTACCGTAAAAAACTCGATCACCTTGGATTTTTGTAAACGCTATACGATGCTAAAGGGGTGATTATATGCACTCATGCATCAGGGATTACATAAAACCACTGATAATTTGATAGTACCCCCAGTCTAAATACCAATGCATTAAAACGTAAACAGGTTATGGGGTGTTTAAAAACGCGTTTATACGGTCTTCACACTAGGGAAGGGTCGCCGCCCAATTTCTTCTAAAATCGCGATGATTCATAAATTCGTTACATAATAATTTAAGGACATACGTATTATAAGTTTAATTTAAAAATCAAAAGTTAATCCAGAAATAATGATGCAGCGAAAATAGCATGCATTATTGCTAATGTATACATTATATTTCTTGTGTTGATTTTCACAAGTCTGTTGGTGGGCGTGCATACCATAATGAACCCAAATGTTTTCGTATAGATTATTAATACGGTTGATTATTATACATAAGAAATGGTCATATTATATATGATCTTGAAATATTATGTGTATATGCTTAGTACGAATGGTATAACATTTAACAATAATTGCTGAAAGTTTCATGAAGGTTCGTTCACGAGCGAGAATCTTTGCCATCATTATTCCTCGTGTCGATCATTCTTCGTCATTCGGCTGTTCATTATAAACGAGTCATCGCCTAAACATTGCTCTCCAACCAGCACTATTGATCTTTAACCTCGGTTTAAGACGCTTCTTGTCCGTAAAGTGGAAGTCTACTGTCGATCGTTTCTCATATCTGTCTTGTGACGCAAAGAAACCGTTTAAAGTTTAACCTTGGTGGGTAGAGCTGGTAGCCGTAGTGCAAACAGCAAGTGTAGCCACAACGATTATAGGCGCATAGCGCGTGCCCCGTATGTGTATACAGCTAGTCTTTATGAACGACACTTGCCCTCGTTGGTTTGCGTAACCTCTCTGCAATTCAAAGTAAAAAAGAGCGGAGTTGATAGCGATCCATGCGAACTAACAGGAGTTGCTCGATCAGCACAATTCCTCCGTTAATTGGCAGTTTATAGCCGATGCTAGCTATAGTTACACTTAGGTGAGACGTATACTCGCGTCACTATGTGCTTACGCTTGCAATTTATTATAGTCATAACCAATGAGCATCTAAACTATATCCTATATGTATTTCATATATGTTACTGTCATATGCGTTATTTAGGAAGGATTTAAATGATCAATCATGCTCCGTGACTGTTTGAACTACATAACAGTATATGCCCCAAACTTTTCCCCGTGGCCAATAACGGACAGTTTCACCCACTTTATGTTCGGCTGATATAATGTTTGAGTTTCGGTTCGAGGCCACGTGTCATGCTGCTCGTATGTATATAGTACGTACGGACGGTGTACTATTTGTCTCTGTCATCTCTCGCGAGCTACCCAGGCACTATAACCATGCTCGTGCAGACAAATAGGGATAATTAACGAAGAAGATAGCATATCAGCTGAAGAATTTGGTCTCGTGGTAATAATTAACTAGTGCCTTAAATTTGTACTGAAAGTAAATCTTATTTGTAGTGTGCTGACCTACTGATACATATGCTAACTTGTGTGTCACGGTGCGGTGAGCGTGCGTGAGTGTTTAAACATCATTTGGAGTACAAAAAGATGTCTTTAAATTTTCACTATGCGAAAGTTCACAAAATACTTGTACGATTCTTAAGCCTCGGTGTGCTGACCTAATTCTCATCTGTACGTATACACAGGGCTAATGGTGACCCTCTGAAAGCAGTGCGCGTGGAACTAAAATTGACAGAAAATGTGTACGTCTTCCCCTGACCAATGTTTAAAATATGGGCATAGCTGCAGGGTATAAACCCACAATCAGCTATTGCCAGTAATTACTTAATTTTTCCTACCCCGTATCACAACATGCGCGTCATCGCCACAGTAAAGATAGCTCGTCTCGATAGACACAATGAAGAGCTAATAATTCATTATTATGCATTATTATACGCATATATATGTATATATATATTATATTATATTATATTATATTATATTATATTATATTATATTATATTATCATTATACTTAGGTATTATATTATATTATATATAACCACATTATTATGCATTAAACATGTATTATTAGCTCTTGATACAATGTCCAAAGTTCTGCCTGAGTGCACCTCTTGCACTAGCTGCGCAATGTCTTGGTTGTCTGCATAATATAAAGATCAATGCCATATATATATATTGCACGAAAACTAGTTTCGGCCGTCGTGTTGATCATGCATGCATCCACCGGCATCTGTGAGCAGCATACAGATGTGTTGTCTAGAGATGTGTAGTGAATCGTGCTTATAAGGCGCAGGGATGACCTTGGTACGCCTCCTGCTACGTGCCGATGGCTGCCCGCATCTGGGCTACTCCCATGCAAAACGAATAGCTACACAAATCTATTACAACACGACGCATTTATTAAAACGAGAAAGAGAAAGAGAGCGTGTGTGTTGGGGCGTGCGTGCGTGCGTGCGTGCGTGCGTGCGTGCGTGTGTGCGTGAGTGAGTGCGCACGTGCGTGTGGGAGGGCGTGCTCGACCATTGTGCTGCTACTTGGTGGTCGTTTACCTTGACCATTTGAGACCCAACGTGACTAAACCATCTGCGCTAAGACGGCTTTCGGGCGAGACTGCTGCTATTTGGAATTTCATCCGGCAGGTAAAAAGCCCGGGTTAGAGAAGTGTACTTTCCATTTAATCTTGCCGCCATGAAGATCTCCGCCTGTCAGACTGATTCCAGATAGCAGCAGTCTCGCTCGCAAGCCGTCTTAGCGCAGATGGCGAGTCGCGATTAACGCGCTTAATTCTTACTAACCAGAGTACTATAAAATTGAAAAGAACGAATTTCTCGCGTGTATAAATTACGTCAGGTGCCACGCATTGCTGAGTTTTAAGTATTTTCGCGACGAGTAGTAACAGCATTAAATACACATGTATCACACGCACGATGCACAATTCATGAAACGCAATGTCGTGTATGCATGAAAAGGGTGCCGCCAGTCAAGCTTAGCCGACAGTACAAATAATTACAATTCGCAGCACTTTCAGCTGAAAACGTAATAGAATCGAGACAAATAACCGGGTTTTAAACCTCGGTCGGTTGCGTTACAATAGTCATCGTCAACCTCATCGGATGCCGGAGATCAGGTGGCTGCATGCGGTTACAATATTGATCGGAGCTCCCTCTCCTCACCGGTCGCACATGCACAAGGCTATCAGCATGAAAGCGCGTCTACCGTGCAGTTCCCATAATTTTATGACCAATTCATGCGAGTGAACTACTATCAAGAGCTAATAATAGCTAGCTATTAGATATTATTAGCTTAGATAGCTTAGATATTATTAGCTCTTGCTACTATCTACTATCTACTTATCGAATTGCGACTAGACCTTACTGACGGCGTATGATGGGATTGTTACGCGCCTGTGCTTTGTGTCTGTGGTAGATGTCTACCCGCAGCTCGTCGCTGTGGGCTGTGGTAAACGATGCATCTAGGGATTCTAGGAGGACATTGCATTCGTACTCCAGCAACGCTCATAGGTTCTATGTCCTCCAGGGTACTGCCGGAACGTACCCTGGGTACGGTCCGGTATACCGGAACGTACCCTGGTAACTATTTGATATGGTTAGGGTTAGGGTTAGGGTTAGGGTTAGAGTTAGGGTTAGGGTTAGGGTTAGGGAGTAGGCGTAAGCGACTCCCTAGACTCGTTAGTGGAGTAGGCGAGGTACGGTCCGGCATATTAGATAGTACCAGGGTACGTTCCGGCAGTACCCTGGGGGACATAGACCCTCTCAGCTCCAGCAACTCTAAGCATATGTGAGATGCAATGATATAAAATCGTAGTTTTCTGTCACGAGGTCATATTATATGGAAACACGACAGCAGACAAAAAATCCCACAGACCCTCCGAATGGTGATAGGTTTCTCTTTTGAAATATTTCGGGGATTCTGGTTCGATTCTACTGACGTAGCGGCTATACGTATCGATATTGGAGAATCGTATTCGAGTACCCTACTTCCACGCATATTTACGCCTACTTCACTGTGTACATAGCGTAGTAAAGTCTTATATATACATATAAGTAGTATAGTCTTTATCACCCTATATGGATATGATATAGGGTTATCTAACCCTAACCCTAACCCTTCATCCCCTTCTTTATCATTTTCCGCTCCTATGTCCTCTCGCGGCTTTACTACGTAGTACGTTACACCCGGTTACCATATACGTTAACTTCACCTTTACTGTCTGGTATAGGGTTGCTCATAGTCCGGGTTTCCTCTGACCAATGCCCACACCGACGATTTGTGGTGAATTTGGTGTGGGTTTTGGTTAAACACACGCCAAATCAACCAAAAATCGTCGGTGTGGGCATTGGTTAGAGGAAACTCGGACTAGGGTGTTCATTGCTAATATATTGAATACATTCATCACTAATTCTGCTCTACATCAATGAATTCCGCGCAATCGTTGCGCATGTTTAGACCCCGGCCATTTACAGCTATATAACAAGCCGACATGTGTAAAAAAGAATGCTCAACCCACGTGTCCAAATTGGTGGATGTTATTGAACAACATATATAGCGCATATATATATTATTTTTTTAATCCATTACGTGTCTGCTTACAGATTGGGACTTGACGTCAACGACGTTGCGAACCTGCAGCTGTTGAATCTGACGAACACGCTGCTGCACGACGTGTGTCCGTACACGGCCATCATCCCGCCGTGCGTGCCTGAGAGATACCGCACCGCCGACGGCTACTGTAACAACGCGGTCAACCCGCGATGGGGAAGTTCGCACGTCAACCTGCGCAGGATGGCGCCACCGGCGTACGAAGACAGTAAGTGCACGCACGAATCGTAAATCGCGGGAAGATGAAGGGGGTCGGGGAAGAGAGAACTTGCGGGAGCCAAAGAATGAGTATCCCGTGCTCTCACGAACATAATTACAAGAAGAAGCCCAAAATGACGGACCGCCACAAACTCTGATATACAGTCGCGAAAACTAAACTATAACAGCGTGCTATGAACATTTTTTACGACGATTTCGTAACGAAATTATTCTCACTCCAGGGGTACAGCGATCCTTCACAATGGGGGGCCCTACGCTGCTCGCTGCCAGCTGAAGTCTCTTGCTCTGGCTTGCAGGTGTATTTGTGCCGTAATGTCCGTGCCCTACCTTCATTTCAGACGTCGACTTTATGCGTACGAGAAGCGTGGACGGCTCCCTGCTACCTTCGCCACGGGTTGTCAGTCTTGGAATGCACCCCACGGACAGCGATCTTCACGGCAAGGTGAATACACCTATAGCATCCCAAACGTTCCCGCCACTAAAATACCAGTAACGTCCATACATATATGACTCGTCGCCTGCTTTGTCGTTTGGAGGGAGATCATTCGGATTTTTCGGAACTTTTGGCGCTCCAAAAACACCGGTGTTAGCTTCAAAAAGCGGTCTCAATATTAATAGTAATAACAGTGATATATGTTTAGTATAAGTATCGGTATTAGGGCATTGGACCAAAATTAGTTTATCGTTTTGCTTCATAATCAGTCGTATAGCCACGTCGGGCCAATGTGTTCGCTATCATAGGAGTGTCCGTTTCCCATATAGTAGCCGGTGCATGACGTCTTTTGTTATAGAACATGTGCTGTTGTGAATGCCGTGTCATGTCTCATGCATTCTGCAGGTATCGGTGATGGTAATGCAGTGGGGTCAGTTTCTGGATCACGACATCACGCACACTCCAATCATGACAGGTAACAATTAAGGGAGAAGCATGTTGTTGTCAGATCTGATCACGTAGAGACTTTGACATCCGATACACGTCAGAATGGTAACCGGTATTTTATATATTTGTAATGACCTAGCTCCATGCAGATGCTAATGTGTTATGCATGTCTGCAGATTCTAACAGCCAGGCTATAGACTGCTGCCAGGAGGATTCCGCTCTTTATACGGGCTGTCAGCCGATAGTAGCGCCACCAGATGATCCCTTCTACTCGGAGCACCGGGATTTCTGCATTAATTTCGCACGATCAACACCGGCGCCCCGATTCGGGTGTGCCTTAGGTATGCATACCGCCAGATAAAAATTGACAGTTGGCTGCACGGCCAGCAAAGAACGAAGTCGATGCATGGAGAGCCTATCGGCTTTAATGTTACCCGAGTAAACCGGCCTCTTATGGACCTTTTTACCAGTGGTTTTCGGGGACACACTACTCACGCGGATAAAAAATATTTAGCTACGTATATGTGAATAAAAAAGCCGTATTTATAATTGAGTAATGCGTGTACTGATCGAGAAGGTAAACGGTAATTTCTAGTGTGCGCGAAATGAGTATTCACCGAGAAACTTTCCACGGTCCATAAGTCCATGACGGCTAGGCGGAACAGCATTCTAAGCAAGCCGGATTAACGCGGCAGGGGGAACAGCTCAGTTATATTCTTGTTGTTCCTCGTTACCAGGTCACCGAGAGCAAATGAACATTCTTACATCCTTCATTGATGGCTCACAGGTGTACGGTAACACGCAATCGACAGCCGACACCCTTAGAGAAGGAGAAGGAGGTGAGTTGGCTATAGGCGTTGGTCGCTATTTCATCTTACCAGATGGGGTTACGCAAGGTTGGCCACTCGCAGATCACGTATTGTGTTTTCCGTTATTGCGAAATTGTGTAAGCTTTGCGCAATCGCTTGTTTCCGTGAGCGTTTTTGAACGCGCGGTGTTGACATCAGTGTTTATTGATCATTGGATTAACGATTTACATTTCATGATACGCAGGTAGATTAAAGGGAAAGCCGCATCCTGCTGGCAGCCATTACAAGCACCTACTCCCATCAAATAAGGACAACGCCGACTGCAAGCGTATCTCTAAGAGCGACAAGTGTTTCCTAGCTGGTAAGCACTTGTCATACATACCGTGTACTTTATATACATCATGCACGTAGACGTACGCACGCACGCACGTACGCACGCACACACACACACGCGCGCGCGCACGCACGCACGCACGCACACTCACTCACTCACGTACATTATAAAGACGTGTGAGTATGTGGGCACCTGCGTGGGTGCGTGCCACTGAGTGCGAGTGCGTGTGCGTGTGCGTAGCGATGAGACACCTACAACTGTCTACATTTCATCGACATAATACGTACAGGGGTACCTAACCTGCGGTTCTCTACCGGTAGGTGACGACCGAGTAAACGAACATGTCGGACTCATGTCTATGCACACCGTCTGGATGCGAGAGCACAACCGCATCGTTGCCGAGCTGGAACGCCTTAATCCACACTGGGACGACGAGCTGCTCTATCAGGTATGTACGGATACCGTATAGGTTACTTATAGTAGGGAAACCTGTAATTTACATAAACGACTTCATAGCATATCTATATGGTAGTATAATTTAGCAAGTATACATACAGCAATTTACTATTACTTGTATAGAGAGAAGGGGAAGGGGGGATAGGGAGATGGGGAAAATGAAAAATATGCGGTTACTGATTATGATTATTTTTGAATCACACAAAGAGGTGTTATAGTGGCATGAAAACAGTTCACATGATCACATCGATGCGGCGATTGTTCAGTAGAGTAATCTATTCTAAATGTCGCATGTAAACTCTAATGCAATAGAATCGAAGGAAATTGTTTACCTAAAAGACTGCCTAATACACACCAAAGCCAGTTTGTGGTTCACATAATCAGAAGTTACAAAAACCAGCGCGCATGCAGCTGTCATAGTGACATTATGCCATTTTCTGATGCTTATCGTGGCACAGGAAGCAAGAAAGATCGTAGGAGCGGAACTTCAGCACATCACATTCAGTGAATGGCTTCCGATTGTACTCGGAAGAGAGGAGATGAGCCGTCACGCCGAGGATCTATCACTGGTACGTTTTCACTAAAGCTATACGTGACGTTGCAGTATATCTACAGACGGCACTCGTGTCTTTGTCGAGCGACACTGTTTGTCTAAAAGAACCCATGAGACCTTGAGATCACGCGTGAACACCCTTCACTTTTTCTATTTATTTTTCTTAATAGCAGGATGAACAATTATGAAATCGATCGAGTCCTAACATTTGTCAACTGACTATAACTCGAGCATTAATAAATTACATATGTAGTGCTTAGTTTAGCGTTAATATTTCCCTGTGTCACGTCCACGATGACGAATGACTGAGGTTTACTTTCTTCTCGTGCAGGCGAAAGATGGCTATTACGATGGCTACGATATTAACAGAGACCCAGGAATCTACAACGAGTTCGCGACGGCTGCGTTCCGCTTCGGCCACACCCTCATTCCCAGCTTCCTCAACCGTGTGGATCCGCCACTGACGCACGCTGAACCGCTGTTAATGCGCAATGCCTTCTTCAGCCCTTCCACGATCTACCGAACGGACGCCACCGGTGGCATCGACGCCATCTTGAGAGGAATGTGCGCACAGAACGTGGAGAGGGCCGACATGAAGGTCACGACCGAAATCCGAGACCACTTGTTTCAGGTACTGGTCTCTTTCTCTCCGGAATGTGAGGCTGTGTAAATATTCGTCAATGTGTGTCTGCCTACTTGCTAGGACGGAGTAGTCGATCGGTGCTACGAGGGCTTTTCCGAACGATCATATCATCACCCGTAATGTAACACTTTTCAGGAACATGGTAAGAGGTACGGAATGGACCTGATTTCGCTTAACATCCAGAGAGGAAGAGACCACGGCCTTCCTGGCTACAACACTTACAGACATATGTGTGGTCTTCCTCTTGCTAAAAACTTTAACGACCTGAGGGATGTAATGGATGAAGAAAGCATCATAGGGTTTAAACGCATATATAGGTAAAAACCAATTATGTTATTTGATTTTTGCTGCTAAGTATGAAAACGCGTGACAACTTGGGAATTAACTTTGAAAGAGACAAAGGAACAAAGAGAAAAGGAGAGAGAGAGTGACAGAGAGAGAAAGAGAGAGAGAGAGAGAGAGGCGCACGGAGAGAGAGAAAGAGAGAGAGAGAGAGAGAAAGAGAGAGAGAGAGAGAAGAGAGAGAGAGAGAGAGAGAGAGAGAGAGAGAGAGAGAGAGCACGAAAGCGAGAACGAGAGGGAGGGGAGAGCGAGCGATCAAGATCGGATTAGAGAGATAGGAAACCACCAACCTTTTATTAACCCTGCGTTACCGTTGTCATGCAGCAACGTCGACGACATCGACTTCTTCACGGCCGGCCTCGCCGAGCGTAAGCTGAACGGCGCGCTGCTCGGCCCGACGTTCGCCTGCATCATCGGCCGACAGTTCACGGCCCTGCGACGCGGCGACCGTCTATGGTACGAGAACAACGACGCCGTCAGCCGCTTCTCTCCCGAGCAGCTGGCCGAGATCCGCCATGTGACGCTCTCGAGCGTGCTGTGCAACGTCGCCGACAACATCACCCGCGCTCAGCCACAGATCTTCCTCATGCCCGACATGTTCACGTAAGTCACATTAGCGGGCGCGCGCGGGGGGTAGGTTCACTGTAGACGCTCGCGCTGCGGTGTGGTGAAGGGAGTCCGGTGTTTTAACGCAATGCGAGAAAAGATGGCGGTAGGGCGATCTGGGGGTCGTCGTCAGAAACATCGTAAAGTTGATGCTAATGTTAATGCTAAGATAGCACTTAAGACTACTGTTAATACTAATTTTGTTTTTGACAACGGGCCCCAGATGTATGGGCTGTGGTATATGGGGTTAGTAGATATACTATACGTTTGTAGGTCGTTTTGGCGCGCGCGTTTGTGTGTGCGCGTGCATGCGTGCGTAGGTGCTTGTCGTTGTGTGCGCGTGCATGCGTCCGTGCGTGCTTGTCGTTGTGTGTGAGTGCATGCGTCCGTGCGTACGTGCTTGTCGTTGTGTGTGAGTGCATGCGTCCGTGCGTAAGTGCTTGTCGTTGCGTGCGCGTGCATCCGTACGTACGTGCTTGTCGTTGTGTGCGCGTGTATGCGGGCGTAGGTGCTTGTCGTTGTGTGCGCGTGAATGCGTGCGTAGGTGCTTGTCGTTGTGTGTGAGTGCATGCATGCGTGCGTACGTGCTTGTCGTTGTGTGCGCGTGCATGCGTGCGTGCGTACGTGCTTGTCGTTGTGTGCGCGTGCATGCGTGCGTACGTGCTTGTCGTTGTGCGTGAGTGCATGCGTGCGTGCGTAGGTGCTTGTCGTTGTGTGCGCGTGTATGCATGCGTGCGTACGTGGTTGTCGTTGTGTGTGAGTGCATGCGTCCGTGCCTGCTTGTCGTTGTGTGTGAGTACATACGTCCGTGCGTGCTTGTCGTTGTGTGCGCGTGCATGCGTGCGTGCGTAGGTGCTTGTCGTTGTGTGTGAGTGCATGCATGCGTGTGTACGTGCTTGTCGTTGTGTGTGAGTGCATGCGTGCGTGCGTACGTGCTTGTCGTTGTGTGCGCGTGCATGCGTCTGTGCGTGCTTGTCGTTGTGTGTGAGTGGATACGTCCGTGCGCGTATATGTTAATTGTGCGTGTATCTGTATGGTCGTGGTGTCTTTATTAGCAGGGTAGTTAGTTTAAACATGTTTTGTTTCATACTTCAGGAATGACTTTGTAGACTGTTCACATTTACCAATGGTGGATTTAAGCAAGTGGGAAGATACAGGTAAGATTTACGCAAATACAGCACTTACGCTCGGCATAAGGTGCGTGGGGTGACCACTGGCTTATAATCCATCCCCTTGTCATCCACCGTCTCTATGGCAACCATATTTGCGTCGACTTGCAGTCGTCATCGTTGCAACGGTAAAATGAAAAGCGATCATCACATTTCTCCTAAATATAATTTCCTGCTAGATTTGTTTACATTGTTGACATGCATGTTTTTGTCGGCGCAGAGTACAAGATGCCGATTAGGCTGCATAGCAGTCAGGTGGCGCAATCAGTGAAGGAAGCTCACAGCAACGTCCAGAACATCGTTCAGCTAGAGAAGCAAGCCTACGAACTCGGTAGGTCTGTCTGTGCGGCCTCATGTCACGGGTGGTAGACAGGTCGCCTGCAGCAGTTAAGATAGTTAACTTCTGCTCAACTACTCCATGCTTGCTTTTTCTGTGGCGATCTGATAGCGATGGCAAAAGTGACGGTGATAACAACCGATATGGTCATGTAGAAGACGATGATAGATAGATGAGGACGTCACGCCCTGGTGATTGCTGAGGGCAACAGAGTTTGTGGGCATATGCCTCCACCCTCTAACGATTGTAAAATTATATTCTAACCTCTGATTGCAATAGTTCAACATGATGACGGGAGTTCGTTCTGCTGTAGGGTTCGGAAGAGTACTGAGTCCACGCGACTCTCTCAGCAGGCATGCTTCGTTCATGAAGTCAACTCCATATATCCAGCTACTGAGTCAGGCCTCCAAAGTTCTCATCAACGCTACCGGCATTCTGGTGTCGCTGTAAGTGCGCTGACACGACGAAACTCGTTTCGCGTGCGTTTTAACGCGTGTGAACATTCCATTTCAATATTCATTTAGTTAATGTATTTAGTCCGTTAAAATGACACCGAAGCTGTATCGGACGCCTGGCTGGAATAACAGCAATACGACATTGACATTGACATTGACATTGACATTGATATTGACATTGACATTGACATTGACATTGACATTGACATTGACATTGACGTTTGGCGGAGTCGTTGCATCGCTCGTTATCTCCTGCAGGAATTCACTGACGCGTGCTGACGTACTCGATCGTCTGGCATCCGTCTCACTGCCGGACAATCTCATTCCTCCCGAGCCTGACGCGTGTGTCGCCTCAACACCGTTCATCGCCTGTGATATCACGAGCAAGTTTCGCACGATAAGCGCACGCTGCAACAACCTAGGCGATCCTGAAGCTGGAACCGCGCTCAGGCCGCTTACTCGTGTGCTGCCACCAGCATACGATGACGGTACGTGCTAGTGTACTATATATCGTGTCTCGAAATCAGAATCTAGCATACTGCGGCAAGCATGCGTATTTTCCCAATTGCTTTTTATTCATCGTAGAACTACCCGCTCCATACTTCATAGCCAAAATTTCAAGCCACAGATTCACTTTCACGTGCATTTACGCCTGAACTTATACAAGCCGTGTGTGTATGCAGGTATCAATGCTCCCCACGTTGCTGGCAACCAGGGCAGGCGTCTGCCAAGCGCCAGGTCCGTGAGCCTTCGCATTCATGAGGATATCAGCAAGTCACACCTCGCATACACACTCGCACTGATGCAGTGGGGACAGTTCGCAGATCACGACATCACGCACACGCCACTTTCTAGAGGTATGACTAGCATAGAGAAGGAGAATAGGTTATAGAGGAAGGAAGGGAACTTGGTAGTGAGAAGGAGACGCATCGTGTGAGATAAAAAGAGAAAGAGAGGCGAGAGAGAGATAGAGAGAAATAGAGCGCATGAGAGAAAGGAAGAGAGGACGATCGCGAGCAAGAGAAAAACA